GTGTGAGGAAATCTGGAGCGATTTTGGGGTTCCTCAGGAAGTTATAGCGAGCGCAATTACTTAATTTCATATACTAGGATACTGATATCCAAGAAGAACTTCAGGTGATCTATAGTACCGACTCTGCAAAAGAACCAAAAGAATGATACCTTATTAATCAAATCAATATCGAGAATGTTATACACTTAGAATGATAGATCATTACCTGTATATAAGAATAAACAGTCCGATCTTCCATACAGGCTGATCCAAAATCTATGATTTTGATTTCTGCTGGCTTCACACTGTCAATTTCAAGAGACATTCTATATATTGAAGATGACAAGATGTAGACAGAATTAAGTAGTCCAATATCATCAAAGAGTAGCTGACCTTGTGCATAAAAGAATGTTTTCTGGCTTTAGATCGCAATGAATTATGCTAGCATCTTTCATAAGAGCCAATCCACGCAATATCTAAGACAACAAGAAATCTAATCTAATAACACGGGTACAGAAATACAAGGCCATCCCATAGTGACCTTCCTCAAATCATATTAATATGAAGCAAGCAAATGTACTACCTGTTTTGAGAATAGCTGCACAATGCTCAATGACAATCCCCTAAAATGATTCAACTTTATCAGCTCGTACCTGATACAAGACTTCCAAATAAAGTGACGAGGCGCCAAGGTATGAACTCAAGAAAGATAAAGGATTTATTCGGAGTTAGATACTTGGATAAGTAACTTACAGATTAGTATCAAGCAGCTCAAAAGTGATGCACAAGTGACGCTGACACACAAAATAATCATATATTCGAACAATGTGGTGCTTATCCTCAGGATCAAACTTCTTATTTAACTAGGGAACAAGGAAACAATTGAGAATGTTTTGGGAAGTTTTGTACTTGAAAGACAAAATGATAAATCCAGTTCAAGGGGGTTTACCGTTGTTAGAATAGAGACTTCAACAAGTGCCTGCTGGTAATAAGCAGGTAAGTTCTTGATAATCTTAACAGCAACAAAACTATTCGTCTCGGCAACCCAGCACTTCGCAACCTGCCCAAATGTCCCATGACCAAGAACGTCCTTGACAATGTACCTGAATACAAAGAAGTAGATGGCAAGTCATTAGAAAACATATCCTCATATATGTATTCCCGAGTTGCAAAAACAAGAGTAAAGTGGGAGAAAGAAAGCAGAACACTAATACAAACAACAATTTTATATGTCAGAAGGTGTAAGAAAGTTAAAAACAGCATTCCTTTTACTCAATTCATATCAGGGGAGGACCGAGATGAAAACATATGTCTTCTCCTAGTTGCTTCCATGTTGTTATCCTATAGCAAAGATAGAAAAAAATGTTTTTTGTTTTTTTCTGCACGATTTTCCTCAATACTAGCTGAGAGTAAGGCATCATGCTTGGTATAGAAAATATAGCAACATATTGTTTCTCACAAAGAATAAGACTCGAACAATTGCTCAACCTGTTTCTCTAATTTTTCTCAGCTTAGAAAATATCAATCATTCGTTCAATAAATCTCACTGCTATAATGGTGACCTATTATACATACAGGCATGCATACCGTAAAAAGCGAACGGTCATGGTGAATGTCTTGATGAGTGGAATAACTATTTCAATACTTCTGAACCAATGAAGTTTTACAGTTAATGATTTCAAGATTTTGCATATACCCACTACATAAATAGCAAAAGACTGTATGAAGTAATGTCCATACAAGTCCTAAGCAGAAAGTAGACAACAGCCAAAATGGAAACACTTGTATCATCCCTTATAGATGTGTGTTCTTTGTTAATGAATAATACAATTTTCATGACATTAGGTCGTTCATAACCCATCTTAGTCAAGCAGACACCAAATATAATTAAGTGCTCTTATTCAAACATTGATGTTCATCCATTCTTTAGATAACCATTTTCAAGGGAATCCAGTGATATGGTGAACTAAAGAGGAGCTAATGGTAAGAGGGGCAAGAGGCCTGCCAAATAGGTCCAGCCAAATATTTCGCAGTGATGTGTTGATATATAATCAGACGAGAAGGTCAACACGTTTAAAATAAGATAGAACAATCTACTTTCCGTCCATAATCTTCTTCCACCTGCTCAAGTTGAACAATACGTAAAACTAATCTGTTCTGAGAAGTTGCTACATTACCACTTCCATCTTGAGTGTTATCATAAATTAGTCTAACGTCCACAATAACAAAAGATCACGCTCTCTCAACCCCTTAAGCATACTGCATAACACCATAATCAACAAAAAGGGCAGTCTTAGACAGAAGTCTTACCTTCGATTTGTATCTGTATTAACCAGCGAATAATTTACAGCAAGAATTAGGTCTGAGTTCGCATTATCACAACCATCATTCGACAGTCCGGTAGATGGTGATGTCAAGAATCTCTTTAGATTTAACTCTTCCGAATAACGGAACTGAGGGTTGCATATTTGGTATATCTCAACGATATCCTTAGTCAACCGAGCAACCAGCTGCAACATAGAAAAACATACCAAAGAGGATTTACTAGTTCAAAATAAGTGTTAGAATGTAAATACATTCCATGCCAAAAGACTCACTAGTAAACATAACAAATAATTCAAATGCAAGACCTGAAAATATAATTACGCAAAAAGCAAATAGGCACGCAACTTGCCACGTGAGGAATCTAAATATGCTTAGCCAAATACAAATCACCATATGATAGAATAGCTAATGGCTTATTTTTTAAAATAAAAGAAAAAGATATAACAAACAGTCTTCATTGGCCTCTTCGAACTGTTACTACTCAATAGGAATCATCTCATTCTACTCCAAAAATAGGTGAATCTTACAAAACCTTGACATTTCATAGGGAAACCAGTCCCCAGATTATAACCACAAGATCTTGATCCCCTGACCTTTCAAGTAACAATATTGAAAAACACTTCTTGCGTCTTATCTATCTCTCTATCTAATCCCAGAAGAAAATGTGACACTTAATCTGCATAAAGCAACACTTTAATTTTTAATCTACTTAAAAAGGCATCAACTAGAACCATGCTTAGCAATGGAATCGACACCTCAAGGTCAAGAAAACAAAATCATGATTTCTACAAGAGGTCAGTAATTTGTTTTTGGACCAGATCAATGCATCTTTGCTTTTGGGCATTCATGCACGTCATCCTCGCTTAAATTGATCTAATGTATGCATTTATCTGAAAAATCGACTACTTCTCAGGTTTTAACATTGGGAATTATCAGCATAAAACTTCTTGTGCGATATGTTAGCTAGCATATATAGAAGCATACCAATAATCAGTAGTTCACTAAATGGGATGGCCATTGATTATCTAGTATAGTACAAGAGGACTTTGCAGTTAACAAAAAGAACAGTCATAAATCATCACCTACCGGTCTTCTAACAACCACTCGTAAAACTTGGGGCTTTGCACTAGTGTCAAGAATTGGGGAATAAGGACGGAAGGCGAGCGGCTTAGGACGCCAGGATATCAGCCTCGATGTGGATGAGGATGATGTTGAGCTCGATTCCTCAACCCTTGTAGTACCAGTACAAACCTCGTCCATAAGTAACCCACTTCTCCCTGGAGAGAAGAAAAACCCACGGGCGGTGCTCTATGCGTGTGCAGATGATGCAGTAAAGATATAATAAACAGACTTGAAAGGTTGTCGATGGGCAAAATTCAGAAAGTGGATGGCGAACAAGTGGGATGGTGTTGTAATCCTCTAGCAAATTCAAGGAATTTACCAGAAGATTGTAATCCCATCCTCATTCACTAGTCAATGGGACTCAGCAAAAGGAAAGAATCTTCAAAATTAGACTCATTGAAAAAAAAAAAAAAACACCAAAAAGAGGGAGAAGCGAAACAGGACGGAGTCTGAATCGATCCAGCTAACAAGTGCTTCAACGAAAAATAATTCAATAACGGCAGATTTGAGAAAGTCGACGATTGAGAATTTGATTTTACCAGAGAGGAAGGAAAGACAGAATTACGGAGCCCTTGGTCGCTTCCTTAATTCCCAGTTTTGTTTTCCTTTCGTCAAAAATGCTAACGAAATGCTGCTTACCTCTGTTAACAGTGGTAGTAATAGTAATAAGTAATAATAAATAATAATAATTATTGTTATTATTATTATTATTATAATATTATAGTAATTGTAATAATAATAATAAAATAAAATAACAATGTCGGGGCGGGGCTACGGGGCGGTGATATAAATGAGTAAGAGCCCATGACATATATGCAGTGGGCCGCTGGCCTGGATTTTAAACAATGGGTTTTTTTTCTTCTTTTAATCAAATTTATTATTAATATTATTTCTTTTAGAATAAAAATTGCTTAATTAAATTTAACTTTTCAAAAATAAATTTCAGATTATAAAAATATTTAAAAAAATGGAAGGAAAAAAATAAAGAGAGGTTGTATTATAATTATTTGAAAATTATGTTTTATCACATAAAATTATCACCAAAAATTCTTGATGTATGGTGAAATATTTATCATTTGTCATAGGGTGTAGAGCGTACTTAATTTTTTTCGCAAGTATAAAATGCAAAAATATGTAATTTAAGAATAATCGTATCCTAATTTATAATATTTATAGATGAAAATTATTTTTTCATATTTAATCACTATCTACACAAGTAACTCAATATACCCAAATTCAGTTAATTGGTAAATCAAATAATTTATTTATACAAGTTCGATTGGGAGAATTATACTTTTGGTCCTTCATGTTTGGTCCGATTTCACTTTTGGTCCCCCTTTTCCAAAGTGAACAAAGTTCACCTTCAAGTTTCAATTTTAAACACTTGTGGTCCCCGCCGTTACATGTCCGTTAGCAAGTAACGGAAAACACTATTTTGGGGTGAAAATTGAAATTTTAAAATCTTTTGAGGCTGAAAATTATAAATTTAAAATAGACTACTTATAATTAATTTTTTAATAATAAAAAAAATTAACAAAACAAATTATTTTTTAATATACTTAATATTATTATAATTATATTACTTATATTTAATTTTTTAATAATAAAAAAAACTAAACAAATGATTTTTAATCATACTTAATATTATTTTTAATTATATTACTTATGACAAAAAAGTTAATTATAAAAAAATTAATAACAAAAAAATAAATTAACTAAACAAATTATTTTTAATTATACTTAATATTATTATAATTGTACTACTTATAATTAATTTTTTAATGATAAAAAAATAAATTAACTAAACAAGTTATTTTTAAGGGGCTATCCCTCGTTAATTTCTTACTTAATGATAAATCTAATTTTGTTACTTGATATTTGTTATAGACTCAATTGACTCAAATTATCCAAAATACCCCTATTTAATATTACTGTATTATTATGAAAAATCAATTAATTTTTTTTAAATATGTAAATCCCCTTAATATCTCCACATATCACGCCATTTCAGTTTCTATTTTTCCTTTTCTTTTTCTTCTTTTTAATGGTTTTCTTTTATTTTTTATTTTTTAATTTTAATTTTAATTTTTTATTTTAAATTATTTTTTTCTTATTTATATTTCTCATGTTCTTCATTTTGATTTTTTTTAAAATGGTTTTATTTTTATTTTTGTTTTTTCAATGGTTTTTTTTTTCTTAATCCCGATTTTGTTTAAATCATTTTTTTCCCCAATTTTATTTAATAAAAAAATATTTTGTTTAATTATTTTTTTTATTTTGATAAAAAAAATTCTTTTAATATTTAAAAAAAAATCCAACAGGTTTTCGAAATGAAAACCACTATAAACTTATCGAAATCCGCTATGAATTTGTTGAAAACCACTATAAATTTATCGAAAAACAACTATATAAATATGAAAACCACTTTGTATAAACAACTATATAAACATGAAAACCACTCTGTATAGATAACTGTATAAACATCGAAAACCACTATGAATTCTAACAAGAAAACATCAAATTTGCACCATTTTTTTTTATTTCTTTTTTTGGTGCAAGAAAACATCAAATTTCAACGAAAAGGAAAGTAATTAACTACATTAATATATTGTGATGTATTAATTAATGACCGTGGAAATGGATAAGG